TTTACTAATTACAAAACAGCCAACTCTCACCGCAAACTTATAAGGAACATGTAACTAAAAGGCATTTCTAGCTAATAAAGAAGAGTTGACATCCCTCTTCTATAGCTATCGCCCTACTAGCACAATTATTAGGCTAATTAACATATTCCATAATATTTGATTGCTGATAAAATGCAGCCCACAAACTACCTAAATGATTTTATTAGACATCAAAATTATTCTTTGTCCTAGCTTTGATTTTAAGTAGTAATCAGCAATTTCACCCATTTCAAAAATTTGTAATACAAATAATTATTTGTCTAAACCTCTAATTTTTAATAAGACACATCACAAAATTGCAGAAGATTAGAAAAAGCAGAAGGCTAATTAATTAAAATTAATTATGGTTAGAAACATGGTTCCGTATAGATGAGAATATTACAAAGAAAATGTGAGACGCAGCGAGCATTGCTTATAAATAAATAAAAATAAATGGAACAAAAAATAATCTCACAACAGATTTTTTTTTTATTAAAACTATTGTCGTACATAGTTGTTTCCTCATATTCAAGACCTAATCTGCCTTCCGAATTAGTAGATAATCGAACTTATATTACCTTTTAAGACTTTTTAGAATGTTTTTGTAGGAGTACGGTTTAATTAGGAAGTCCTCGGAAATCTTCACAGCACACCAACCGCAAATGATTCCCCTTCTCCTTGATTATTTGCTGTGTACTGGCCAAGTTTAACCCACAAAAGGGTTAAGGACCTGTAAAAACAGTTTTTGATGCAGTTTCGGCTAGCTCATCACCTTGTTAATTTCCCAAAACTTACTTTGTGACTCGATACCCAATAAAGACTTACCTTATTTTGAGCGAGCTGTAAATAATTGTAGAATCTCATAACAGTCGAGGACCTACTTCGACTTGAAAGTATAAGAAGACAAAGCTTTAAGAACAGCCTGGCTGGCGAAGTAAATAACAATTCTCGACGTAAGCGATTTTTGATGAAATTGGATATCTCGCGTATATTGATTGCGTGAATTTCTGCTTGAAAGATACTCGTTCATGTACCGATTGTCGCCAAAATTCTGGTATTGGATCTATTTACACCAGCACCAGTTCCACCATACATTTTTAATCGGTCTGTGTACCAAACCAAACTTTTTGGATGAACGTGTGGACCTCCGTTATTCCACGTTGAAAGTGATGGTAAGTGTACTTCAAATTTTCGGCCAAAGCGATGAACTTTTGTTATTTAGTCTCTATCGCACTAAGGTATTTTATGTGCTCCAATTGTTTTTAATAATGTTTTATGACCATAGTCAAGACAAACCTTGTTCATATGGAGTTTTAATCGGAACTCACTTAACGCAGCCGTAAATTGAATATATGTATATGTGTAAAGGTATGAGCCCAAGTACAATCTCAAGTGCTATAACTGGACTAGTTCTCTCACGATAGATTCATACAACTGACAATTTTAGTTGTAGTCGTATAAAAATTTTACAACTCATAAAAGTTTATTAATTATTTTACACAGATTATTGAAGCATAAAATATGATATTGCTAACTATAAGTAAGTATCGCATTTAGATATTTTGCTTATGTTGCTTTCTTAAAATGTCAAGTTCTTTAACTTTCTATTGAATAGTTTTAACACAGCATAACAATATTACTAGTCTTTAAGGTGGAAAGTACTATACTCCGCAACTCAGGCGATATTGTGTGTGTAAAATAATTAATAGTTCTGTAGATTAAAATTGTTATTATTTTTTTCTTTATTTCAGAACATAGTAATTGAACTCGTGAATGTGAAATAAATATAACTTAATACTAAAAATGGCCATATTGAATACATAATTTGCCAATAATATTGCTAAGAATACAAAAACCATTTATCAAAAAAATATTTATAATTGGGAAAATTACATATTATAATTATATATATCTTTATTATACATATATAATATATTTCTATTTACTAGACTGAAGTTAGCCATTCCTCCTTATTTTAGTTTTAAGTTTTAATATATTTTTCACGTTGGCATGATTGGCAATCTTGGACCACTAAAATGTCTATTTCCGCCAGAGAATATATAAATTGAGAATATAGTTGAAGAGAACTAGACATACTACTTATATTACTCCTTAAAATAATTTCAAGAATTTGATTTTGTACGTATAATAATTTTATTTAATATATTTTATTATTTTTTTATTTAAAAAATAAATAGAATTTAACATTAAAAATTATAGAAGAAACTGATATAAAGTATTGGCTATATAAACAAAAATCTATTAAAAAACTTTTGTACTAAAAACATAAAGTTCTGTTATAACATATATGTGCATATATATGAATACATTAAATACCATGACTTACAATCAATTTTAAAATATAATATAGAACGGTAATCCGTTTTAAATATATATCATAAAATTTAAAATATTACTATAGTAATATTAAAAATTTATTTTAATTTGTTCAAACAGATTCTTTAATTTATATCTGAAAATAATTTCACAATTTTTAATCAAAGCATTGAAATCTCAGGTCATATATATGATATTTTTAACACTATAGGTACTAAAAAATACTGCACTATTAAATAGATCTTTATTGGACTTTGTAGAAGTCAAACAAAGCTTATTAAATTCAGTGGCATAACTATGTATGTAGGTGCGGGAAGTGCAGATATCATTTCAAAGGGATGACATCAAAATGAAGAAATTGCCAGTTTTATATAAGAATATTTCTTGTATTGTCTACTAAGTCAGTCTATTAAACTGATTATTTATAATAAGTAAGTCGAACAAAAAATGAGAGACGAGTGTTAATTAACACTTAACACTTGAAATCAAACATCTCTAAATCAGACGAATACAGCTACTGTTATAAAGTTGAAGACAGAATGAAGTATCTCTTAATCAAATATTGCGCTCTATCCTAAACTCAAAAATAAATAAATAAGAAGCAGCAATTAACAGAAATTACATTCGAGAACTACGTTCATTTCTCATAGAGTTTACAAAGAGCACAGTGTACAATACAAAGAATATAAATCTGTACTTACAGTACAAAAAGGTGTTTTTACACTATCTCCCTTTTGTAATAAAATAATTAGTCAAATCCACAGAGACAGGGTACCATTATGCAGTATGCAGATCATACTCTGGGGTGTGATTGCTCTTGATTAAAGATATACCATTTTTACCACTAAGTTGAATTTGGTTTTTTATAAAATATTTTCGTTAAGAATATATCCCATATTTTGCTTTTTGAAATGTAAAAAAAAAATATATTTAAATATATTTAAATTAAAAGATTTCAAAAAACATTTTCACTATTCCATTTGAGAAAAATCATCTTGCACTACAATGAAATAATGGGTTCATTCTTAATAATATATTGTCCTTATGTTAATGTCCTGAAGATTAATGAGGAAATATGGTTCTAAATTTTTAGGTTTGTAGATATATACCGTGAAAGGAGCTCAAACCTCCACAGAAAGCCTTTTTGTTTTTTAGAGAAGGGTCAGATGTTTAAAAACCAGTTGAACCCATTTTGAAACGGAAAAATTTATCTGATTTTTATGTTATAAACGCTTTGAAATGGGTTAAAGAATACTGTGACCGTAAACTTAAACCTTGACTGAAATCAAGCAATTGAATAGACAGTTGTAAAATCAGTCCAATATGGAATTTTGGTGAGGGAAGATTGGAATTCATAAAAAGATTGACAAGAAGAAATTCACATATATTGAAATCAATTTATAATAAAAAAATAGTAAGCGTTTATTATATATTAATTGTATTCATTTGAAATTCCAGATATTATTAAAGACAATCAAGATAGTACTAGATATGTTTGACATTGTTCATCCATAGACTCTATTAACGATAAAATTAAAACTTTTTGGTGACCTTTCCGAAATTCACTTCCATAATTATTTATCCGATCTCACTGACCATTATTTAAAGTTTTGAAATTTATGATCAAATAGGACTAAATAGAACATCTCTTCTAACATTTCAACATAGACCTTCATTTATTTCTTTATGTATGTATACATATACTGTACATATATGTAATATATATTGTGCCTTTATGTGAATAGATCTTTTAAAAACTAAAACTTTAAAGAATCAAGATTTTTTGATTAAGTATTATTAACAGGAGTAAAGTTATTAAAGAGGTGATTAATAGGTTTCCAATTTAAAGTCTAGAAATAAATATTTCAAAATGTGTTGCAGATACAAATACTTTAAATCTGCAAATAATTTATTATTGTTTTTAACTTATTGGAAATACTAAATTATTTTAAGAAGAAGAAATTGGATATGGCAAACTGAAGGAAGATAATAATATGATTTTATTATGATCTATTATTATCAGATATTTTGTAAGGTTTAATCAAAACAATTCATTTAATATATGCATTTTTACAGATATAATTTTATAAGTTGATTTCTAAATTAATAGTTGGCTTTAGATTCTGTGGAAGTTAAAACTATACTCTATTAATTTTATATAAAATATTCTATTTTACTTTGCTATAACTTTTTCATAAAGATCTTTCCCATTTTTTTTTTGTTGATCCAAATATTTAAAGAAAACGATTTATGAAGTACATTGAAAAAGTTTTGGATAAAACTGCAAGTATTTACAACGTACATATAAATAATGAAGTCTAATGAATTTAACAGTTTTTGTATTATCTTTTGTGCATTGTATACTATTATAATTTCTTGAATATATATAATATTATAATATCGTGAAAAATGTTTTTGATTTTTAGATCTTTGTAGCTGTATATATTGTTTTCATTTGAATTTTGTTCAGATTTTTTGGAGTCCTAGCACTATTAATTAATGAATTTATGTTCTGTACTTGCGGCACGATTCGTTTTATTTTTATATTTAACTAATGATTTTAAACCTATAAATACCTTAACATAAAATATAAAATAAATTATAATAATTTTTTCATGCAAAATGAAACATAAAAAATACTACAACAAAACTACGTCGAATTAAGTAAAATCGAAATAATCAGCATCCAAATTTAATAAAGCGATCCAATCGGAGATCGGAGCGGCTGTGATCTATATTGCTATACCATTCAACACCAAATTAAATTTGAAAATGTTATAATTTAATTTGAAGACGTGCATGTTGATCGCTTGTACTTAATAGTAGCCAATGCACGACTGACAGCAATAAGACTTATAAAACTGCAACTTGCATAAACGTTGTCGGTTAATGCGCTTGCAATTGGGAAATTCATCACTGCAATCATCCGGCGTTGGAGTGGTGTTATCGTTCTGTGCTACATCCATTGGAGTATTCAACTCTAAAAAGTGAAAAAAATAACAATAAGTATTATAAGATACACTGGGAAACGAAGAAAGAAAAACAACTGAAGAATCCCTAGTCGAAGACTGCAATAATAACAATTTAAAAGCAATTACTTATGTACGCGAATGTCGTACACAGTTTTTTTTATCGTATGAATAATATGCGATGTATTTCGCTTACTTTTGTATCTAGATACATATATTACCTTCACATTTGTGCACATTGCAAGCAGCGTAAACAGGCTCTCGTTCCAGGTACTTGCAATTGTTCGACTCAACCATGGCATTTTGCTTCCAATCAAATTCCAGACACTTTGCATAGCGACGCTGTGTGCCTTCACCACAGGAGCGAGAGCACTGTAGACAAAAACAAAATAAACAAATTAAAAATTTTTTAATTCACAAAATCTGTTTTTTAATTTTATATATATATCTATTTATATATTATATCCCCAATATCATAATACAATAATAATACTGAAATGGTAATATCTCTTCTTTTTTTAAGATAAAAAAACAAGTCTCTAGCTTGCTGAAGCTTTCATATGCTTTATTAAGTATAATTATATTTCATTAGTTTTTAACAAAAACTCTTCCATGATAAACCCCAATTGCTCTAAGACTAAACAAGAAGTTAATGGAAGAGTAATTACCTCTAATATAAGAATCTTTCCGGCGCTTGGTGTATGGCGCACTGGGTTTTAAGTAAGGTTTTACGCACTTGAAGCCCGCATTACTAACAAAGCATTACTATCAATATCTCCAAAGAACAAAAATATGCTCATACTTAAATCTATAAAAGTGTCAAACCAAAGGTAAACCAAGTGGGGCCCTGCGACCTACCCGATCATACTAAAATTGGTAGTAATAAAACAAAGCACAGAATTTTAAAAATCAAACAATACTACAGACTATAGACGAAGTAGTTGAATTGTGGAGAGCCTTTCCCGAGTTAGTGCATCTGGGCACTTTTACTCTTTTACTATTTTACCTCACTATTTTAGAACACTTTCTTGATATGTTTATTTTATAAATAGCTTATATATTAGAAGCGTATTACACATGAAATTTTTTTGTCAAACTTTTTTGTGAAATGCGCAATTTGTGCCAAATTTGATATGCAATAACAACATTGGAAGTATTGACAAAAAAGTTTGATAGAAATCAAAAAATATTGATTTTTCCTGAAAATTGATCGTGTTTTTCGCATACAAACGGATTTTTGACGACTTATATGAAAAATTCATTCATTTTTTGGGATGGAAGTTGTATATTCTTACGGAAAAGACAATAAAACTCTGTAAAATATATTCTATACTATTCTTCATTTCAAGTCCGTTTAAATGCATGCATGATTTTATTTTGTTATATATTTGTTGTTTTTTTTTGCTGGGACGTGTTCAAAATAATATCAACTGTTTTGATGTGTAGTAAGCGATGACAAAAAAATTTGACAAGAAAATCGCATGTGTAATACACGCTTTATACTAAAACCTGGTTTTTTTTATACATTTTCAAGTCATTATTAATGATCGTCAGGACTGTGGAACAAAATCTGTTTTTTTCAGACCTGGCTGGATTTTTAGATGCATTAAAATTTAAAACCAATAGCGATTTTTGAAATCAAGTAATGAACTTAACCACAGTCTTTGACGCTAATATGAAATCATACATGTCATATAAATGCTAGAAGAATAAAAACAAGTAAGATTACAAAATAACCCGTCCTAAAACGTCGAAATAATTAAATCAAAAAAATATTAAAATGTTAGAAATTTATGATTAAATTTTATAGTCCTCTACATATTTACAGAAATCATTTCAAAATATAAATAAAGTAAAAACAGTAATCCATAAAGAAATTCCAAAAAAAATTTTAAATTGAAATTATCAATAATACCTTACCTCTGACCACTCAGAATAATGCCACTTCGGTCCGCAGTAATTTACCTCTCTATGGGTGCAATTGCTCACTTCCTTTGGCTTACCTACAGCATCACACTCTTCATCGTCAACCACATTCCCGTCACGCAAACAGATCACAATACGTTTTCTTTGTAAATTAAAGCATTCGCCAGTACAATTACTCCATTCAGATGCGAACCATGTACCTTCTTGGCATTCCTGCTGACGTGCGCTGCAGGCGCGTTTTTGTTCGGGCGTATAACGTAAATCGCACAAATCCGTATAAGGCGGTGTACGATCACAATATATGGTACGATGTTCATAACCGAGACCACACTCAGCAGAACATTCTTTATTCCATTCAGACATTAACCATACACCAGCTTTATCCGAACGGTCATCGCGTAAGTTACGACGCAAAGGCATAGTGGAATTGTACACGCTACGCACTATAGCTGGTGTACCTATTAGTCGAGAATAAACCTTTGGTGCTTTATCCGGTCGTCTTTCATAAATTCTACGACGTATTTGTTTTGGGCAACTGCACACTTCAATTAGATCAGGTGCTATTAGCTTCTCACATTGTGTCTCTTTCACTTCCTCAATTTTACCAGTCAGTTGTTCTTGCACGCAACTAGCATAACGTTGTCGCGTACCATTGACTTTATTTTCATTACACTTGCACTCACTATATTCACTAGCACGCCAATATGCTGGACATAGACCACGATTGCAGTGATAAATATCCTCACTAAAAACCGGCTTCTCTGCGAAGGCACAGCGTTTTGGTGAGTAGAATCGGGTTTGTGAGTCGCGTATGCAACGGAATATTGGAGACTGTACACCAGGACCACAAGAACGATTGCATTGTCCGAAGCCAAGTAATTTCCATGAAAACTTACGCCTTTTTCGATTTTTAGTACGTGCTAGCTGTGCAGACACTGTATCATCAATATTATTATCATCAATGTAATCTAGCGGATCACCAAGTTCATTCCACTGTGATTGCTGTTCATCATCTTCAGTTATAGAAGCCGATGGAACAGGTATAGTATAGTCATATTGTACACCAGGATTGATACCACGAAAATAGAGCTAAAATGTATATAAAAATTGTATGGTAGGTCGAAGGTAATATGAAAGAAATATTAATCAATATTTTACCATTAACACTATTGCTTTACTTAACGGTCCTTTAGAAGTGATAATGCCCAATTCTCGATTATATTCGAATATATCATCATTATATTCAAATATGCCGCTTTCTGAGCCGTGATTATCACCATGTATAATAAATATATCATCCATACTCTTTAGTGCTTTTCATGAAAAAAAGTAAGAAACAATTAGCTGTTTGTCATAACATGGATATGCTCTTCTAAAGATATTTACCTAATAAGTTATCGCTACGTTCAACTTGTTTTATGGTTAAATTCATGGCTCCTGTTGGTATGGTAGATATGAAATTATATCCATAATTCTCTTTGGTCTTATTGTATAGTTCAGAAACAACTTGACAAAGTACTGAACCACATTTAACTGTGCTGTCATAAGTGGTTGCAGGTCTTATGACACCACTAGAATGTACCGCCTGAAAAAAAGTGAAAGTTTAATCCAAAGTATTCTTAATTAAATAATATTAAATGATACTTAAGATATTAATAAAATAAATTAAAAGAATAAAACAAAAAATTAAAATAATTTGAAAAAAAAATAATTTAAAATAAAATAATTTAAAATTAAAAAATTTAAATTAAAATAATTTAAAATAAAATAAAATATTTTAAAATAAAAGAAATAATGAACAAAATATAAGAAATGATGTTAATTAAAAAAAATTAAGAATAATTATAAAAATTGGATAAATTTGTAATTTTAACTTTATTCCCTTATAATATGTTAATTATACTTACCAAAAAAATATAAATAAATAGTTTTTGTATCTTTAACATTGTTTTGTCGGAATGCATTCATATAATTCGAAATTCGGTAAAAAATATTGTTTTAATTATTTTTTTAAAATGTAAAACTCGTCGTTTTCATATTGTTTCTCTTAAAAAATGTTTATTTAATTAATATTTGTAATACGAGTACACTAGAAGTGTTATATTTGATATAAACTTATATGTGGCATATATAATTAATCAAATAAGTTTCATAAGCATCGAAATTGTATTTGCAATACTTTTACTCTTTTAAATATTTATGAATGAATAAAATAATGAATGTTAATAAATTAATATTTAGAAAATTTATTATTGTAAAGTACAAGTTTAGTATTTATGGACATAAATGTAGATAAATATGCTTTGCAAATATTTAATTGACAATCTATATTAACTCATTATGTTATTATCAAAACAATAATAAATATCTGAAAAACGCTCTGTAAATTTGAACTCCGCAACTAAATAAAATTCAGGCTTCATAAATTAGCTAAGCCGCTTTTACAAGTTAAAAAATATGGCTTGGATAAAGGAGAAGATCCATAAAAGAATTCATATCATTACTTCTTATATCTGCTTATTGCTGTAATAATTAGATGGTATGGATAATAACAATATTCATCAACAGCTCTGTTGCAAGGATACCACTCCTAAGAGTATAGTTTTTTTTAAACCAACGTATATATATATATATATATATATATCTATCAAATCTGTCATCAAAATTCTGTTTCAACTCAAAATTAGGCTTTCATGGTTTGAATTTCATCTGTTAAGGACTGTATTACAGTCCATTTAAGCGACAGCTTAAACTTTATAAAATTATGCAATTCTGAAGTGAAATGCGACCCACTTATGGAGACGCTCTCAGTATAGTTTTATATAGAATTCGTTCAGCTAAGAATTTTACCAAAAATAAAAAACTACGATAAGAGTAAAAAAAAAACAATTAGTAACCCAATAAGAAAGATGAATGAATGCAATGAGTCACAATTACCACACATTTGTGGGCTAATTATCAAGTAATAATTAGGTCATGTCAACAATGAAACAATGCCGCACTTACAGTTCATGTCTCTGCTTAATTCCCGCTTAAGACCAAAAGTTCCATTAAACTTCCATACAGAAATCAATTTCAAGAGATATATTCTTGTGAAAAGAAAAATTACCAAATATTTCGAAAAAATAGACTTAATTGTTTTTAAAGCAGCAAACAGTGGAAGTAAGTAACTGTCAAGTGGTTTCCCATTCAATAAAATTAATAGCGGAAATGGAACACTTTTCGGAAAAATATACGAAACTTAACTAAAATTTTACAGATACACATTGTAACCACAAATGAAAGCGATTTTTGTGCAAAATTTAATGAAATTCCACAAGTTTTCGTTAATAATCCAATTTCTCTCTCATGGAGCTTAATTGAAATGAAACACCACAAACACTTCGCCCCATTAAGATTCCATCTTCATCAAAAAACATAAATTTCAAAAACTCGCTTCATACAATAAGTTGTAAATTATTTTGGAATTCTAGGCGCTTCGAAATTACTTAGCCGGGTATACGAGTATTTCAAACCCAATAAAAATAGCAATAGATTAATTTAGATTTATTATACGGCAATTTGGCATTACACAAGCGGCGCATGTGTGCGGTACATAAGTAAAAGTGCTTTTATAGGTCAATAATGCAGTGACCGCACGACGATTTCACCTACCGATGTAGACCCCAATATCTAATACGTGCTTCGTTGCAAAATGCAATTATAATTTCTCGCATATACGAAATCAAAAAATATTAAATTAAACGCTTTTTTAATAAATTGTGTACAAATAAATATTTTGAAGTAATTTTTAATTTCGCATTAATGCATATGCATTTCTAACGATCACATACAAATGTGAACAATAACATAGATAATAGATAACATAGATATGCACATTGTAATAATATATATATATATATATATATAATCAGGAAGAACTCCCCTCGTTCTCGCGATTCCAGAGTAACGCCTCTCGATTACTTTTTATGGGACTATGTTAAGTCATTGATTTATGTCGACAAACCAGCAAGTCTTGATCCACTTGAAACCAATGTTGACTATAGTATGTATGAAAAATTTCATTCAAATTGCCCAAAGAATAAGGAAATTGTTTGAATTCAAACAGATCAACAGACAGCCAGTTGGACGGACAGATGGACGAGACTAAATGAACCCAACTCGCTGAGCTAAAGAAGAATATATAAACTTCATGGAACTTACAAAGTTTACTTCAACACAACATTTGGACAAACCTAATAAACTCAAAAGGTATGTACAAAAGGTATAAATGGAATGATCTATTTTGTAGTCCCGATTTGACAGACCTGTTACTGTGATATTTTATGCATTTAATAGTTTTGATGTTCAAAAGATTATATGCTTTGGTTAAAATTTACCATTTTATAATGTGTATAATTGAATAACTAATAGACGTGTTAAAGTTGTAATATCTTACTTTAAAAATGATAATTTCTTCATAGGTATAATTCCAGAATTATAAAGAGATTATTTTTGACATAATTACAAATCTTAGCGCACAATTGACAAATATTTGAAAACATTTGAAAAAAATAGATCCATAATAGATGTGCTAAGGCAACGATATAATCGAAATGCTTGTACAGCTGAAAATGTTCAAATTTATCTTCTACAGGGAGCTTACAATATTTGAGCCTATCTTATGACATATTAACGCATTCCCATCCTTATAAAATTGAATTAATATAAGAACTGAAACCGACTGATCAGTGTTGAGTAACACTAATTGTGTATTCGAATGACAACATTTGGTAAATTGGTTATTTTTCACATTGAATTATCTTAAGTAATAGGGTTAAGTTTTTGATTAACGGATATGCCAACAAAAAAAAAAAATTGTCGCATCTAGAATAGTGAAAATTTTGCAAGTAACTATCGACTAAACCATTGCATCTATGAAAGGTGACTGAGTATTGTGACATAGGTCTGTCTGGAGTACGGCAGGCCCGTACTTTTTTAAAATAACGAATGTGTAACAGAACCCGTCAATTATAATTGCTATTTGAATGAGACAGATATGTAATTTCAGCATGAATATTCGGAAGTAACACAGAGCATTGTACTGTAGCTCTAATGAGAGAGGAATATGCCGGTTGCGTGATTTCACATTTTGTGGATAGCTTCATTACCACTGGATTTGGTTTTCTGTGGGATTATGGTCAAAATCATGTATATACAGTTAATCCGTGACGTAAGGTATCTTAAAATTTTATAAATCGCAAATTAAATAAAAACAATATTTCTGTTGAAGAATACGAATTTAATTTTTATTATAGACAGAAAGTATACATAATTGTATATGATTTAAAGTAGGGTCTATATATGTAACATAACATATTTACTGAATAATCTTGTTTGAGAGAATAATTGTGAAAGTAAAGAAATATATAAAAAAATATATCATGTAGAGCGCACTCAGCGCTTGCTCGGTAACTAATCTAGAGAGACCAAGTGCTGCTACAATAAATACTCTATAATTAAAACATCTGAAGATTGCTAATGTCATGCAGAAGATCTATTTCTGGAGGCAATAATATCATAAAATACTTTATTAGTTAATTTCTTTGAGAACATAATATGTAGCACAGCCTCGTTGAAGCCAAAAATCGTAAAGAACATGCTAACTCGCAAATGGAAAAATAAATTATTGTTAATGGCTCTGTTTCAGACATCTTCAACAATGACATCAATTTTCTTTACTTTTGAATATCAAATAATACCATTTGTCCATAAACAGCATCAACCACTATTCTTTACTCCATAAAATCATTAATAAGAGTATGCTGAGTATGTTGAGAGATTACCTACCAGCTGTTTAAGCGTCATTGTATTAGGAAAATATCTCTCCCAGGTATCAAATCTATTTTTGTAATTTGTTTAGACTGCATTTAGCTACACTTGCAGCTTTATTTATTGAATTCAAGTTCTACCCTCTTTGTTTATTTAACTAGGTAAGGTAATTTAGTTAATTAATTTGGTTAAACATTCGGGGGAAATTCAAATAATAAATACATTTTTTTTTAATTTTTTAATATAATTTAGATTTTTTTTTTATTGTGTGATATTAGTTGTGACTTCTCTGTAGACATACTTTTACTTTATCTAAGCAATGAGTGGCACAATACTACATAAAGTATATAATTATTTGAATACCATATGTAAAACATTACATTAACGTTTATTTCCTTCTAGAAATTAGTAATCAATTGTCATTTTTCTACAGTCAAAAATAACCGCAAATCCGGATATTCAAAGACTCCGGATATACAAAAAATTTATATTAAACTCCGGAGACTTTGTATACTATCCGATTAAACGGGTTCTCCGATACTTCGTAAAACCGAATACGAACAACACTAGTTTCTACTACTGAGAAAGCTTTAATAAAAAACATGAAGTGTAAAATACAATTCTAGTAAAAAAGAATTGACTTCGTTATATGAACGAGAGTAGCTTTTTTTCCGATGTTAAGGATATGTTACTTTTTTGAAAGCAATTATTTTTGAGAACTAGATATGAACTGTCTAATGTAGTATTTAATGCATCAGATCATAGAAGATCGAA